ACGTGTAGATGCAAGGTATGGACTTCCAGTGTTACCTGAGCAAACCATTGACCTCATCCACAATGTGACGTAGTTTATAATAAGCGTCTGTGGGAGGCAGCTTGAGCTCCACAATGAGCCGGTCCACCTTGTTGATGCAGATGGTGATGGCCATACGCTCCTGAACTGCATGTTTGATCAGACGCTCAGTGTTCAGCATCACCTGGGCAGGGGGGGAAGGAAAAAAAAAAAATCAAGGTCATACAGAAGGATGAGGAACAACGACGTGTGCGCAGTTAAGAGTGCAGGACGAGGAGATGTGGAACAGGAAAAAAAAAAAAACAACTCACGCCTTCTGCTGCGTCAATGAAGAGGACGACGCCGTCTGAGATCCGCATGCTCGATGTGACCTCGTCTGAGAAGTTCACGTGGCCTTAGAGAGGGGAGCAAGGTTTGACATGACTTAGTGCTATGCTACAAAAGCACACACAACCAGAAGACAAAGAATCAGGCCAACACACAATACCTGGTGTATCCATGATGTTGAATAGGTAAGACTTTCCTCTGGAGTCTGGCAGGACCATTGTGACCGGCGTACTCTTGATGCCAACTCCTCTCTAGGAAAGCAGAAGACAGACATCATCTTTCCAGCACAAGAAACTTAAGTCTTCATCGTTTTTTAAGTTCAGGCCTTGCTTGAAAAAGAGGTCATTTGATCTCAAGCAATTCTGCCTGGTAAAATAAAGGTTAAATAATAATAATTTAAAAAAAGAAAAAAAGTTTCATTTGTTAAAGGCCATGTGATCTCTGCTCTGTTAAAAATGTATTCACTGCCTTAATGTCTAAATAAAGCCGTATTCTATTAAGGATCTTATATTTCTATGTTTACTGTTCCTTCTCATTCTCATATGTGGAAATCTTTCGGTTAAAAAAGTGTGTAAGCATTATGGCAACGATCCAACAAACCACTCACCTCCTGTTCTGTGAAGAGGATGTCTGTGTACCGGAGCTGAAAAAAAAGTCAAAGAAATGTTTTTAAATTTGTGATGTCATATTCAGAGATTTGGTGTAATAACTTGGATGTTTTTGTACAGTCAACACTTACATCCACATCATCTCTCTTCCTGATCTCTGGATGTGTCTGCTCGATCAGACAGTCCACAAAACAGGTCTGTAAAGAAAAAAAAAAGAAAAAAGCAATAGATGCCCATGAGTCACTGTTGAGTCTAAAGTGCAGCCATGTTGGCAAATACATTCCTCTCCTATGAAATTCTTCAACTTAGGAACATATGGCTTTTTTTTTTTTTTTTTGCTTTTCTGGTGAAATGTCACAGAAGCAGCTGGAAGAAGCCAGAAGGTAGACTCTAACCTTGCCGTGGTGAAGGTGACCACACAGGGTGACGTTACGGATTAGCTCAGAGCCGTCCATCAGATCGGCAAGGAATCTGTGAGGATAGAATAACACACGTTGAGTGACAGACAGCAAACAGATGTGACTGTCTTGTAAGTACTGAGAATAAAGTCAGCATAAAAATTAAAAAAAAATGTTGCATGTGAGAACATATTGTTCACTTTTTTTTTTACAATGATCAACAAAACAAGACAACAGGTGTGCACAATAGCTATACAGTTATGGTTTCTATGTCTATTTGCTTCTCAGTACATTTTGAATCGTACATGTTATGTGTTTTTTTTATAAACTTGTTGTTGCTCTTGATTCCAAACAATTCAAGACGGAAGAATATATATTTAATTTTTTTTACCAAAAGGTCTTCAACAGCCATATAAAAATGGGGCTGGAGAATTGCTAACTCAGAGTTAACCTGAAATCTGGGAATGCATGGCCAATGTATGCAGATCTGCGTGAAATGTGAAATGATTCTCGTTTTTTTTTTTTTTTAATTGCTCACTAGAAAGTTTTTGGTGCAAGATGACGAAAATAGAATAAAAACCAGCCAGGATTGACACTTGTAGCTTCAGACATTTTCGGCAATAAAACGGCAAAACATAAAACATACGCAGATGACTTACTCCATATCGTAAACAGTGGCCGGTAACTCCTGCTCCATCAAAGTGAACTGCCTGTTCTTCACAGGCTTGATGATGGGCTCTGGAGAGGAAAGAGAAACAAGTGTTTATGTGTTCACCTTAACAGCACATGAGCTACATGTAATAAATCACTATTATGATATAAAAACAATAATGAAATATAATGCACTTCCACCGGCAAAATCTGCATATATATATTATATATATAATATAATATATATATAGGGTATACAGTTCTTGCATATTACCTGTAAGAGGTTGTGTGTCTTCCTCTTGGACGATAGTTTCCACTTCAGGACCGTAAACCTCTTCTGCTGTAGGATAGTACTTCTTGTCCTCGTGCAGGACCACCTCCATGCCCGGGACATCTTCATCAGCATCAGCAGGTTCATCATCATCGTCATCATCACCCTGCACAAGAGAGAGAGAGAGAGAGAGAGAGAGAGAGTTATTACTGAGACATGTGTGCACATATGACATCAGAATAAAACTTGGTACACATTAATGATAATAATTTTTGCTGAGTGGTTGTGAGGAATACCTCATCGACATCTCTGTCCTCTGCATCCAGGTCATCATCATCGTCTTCAGAGTCCAGCTCTGGACCGATGTAATTTCCGAACTCGTCATACAGATCCGCCTCCATTTGTTAGAGAACTGGAAGTGGAGTCATGTGTGAATGGACTGTTTTAAAAAGGGTTTCATTTCAATACAAAGCATTAATAATAACCTTTGTTTACTGACATAACAAAAGCATGCACCCCCCCCCCCATGTTACACGTGCTACAGGCAAAAAGACACTACAATCTTACTTAAGCCGAACTATCTGATTCTGAAGTATCATGAACTAAATATTAGCATGTTAGCATGTTAGCATGCAGAAAGAGAAATGAATGATTTGGAAGGCGACGTTTCAGTTACGTCGTTGTTTAAGCGTCGATCCTTCATAACTCGCAGGTTTGCAAACTCCACCTACCTGTATTCCGTTAAGCTGCAGAGAGTGGATATTTCTTCTTTTTTTTCTTTGTTGAAACAATATAAAGTAAGGTTTGTATTTAGACGACAAAAAGTGCCGCCATGCGCACAAAACACTACTTCCCGGATTTTCTTCTTCTGGTTGCCTTGTGGACGGTAATCATTCTGCATTTTGCTCACTATTGCCCCCTAGAGGCTACATCTAAAATCGCAATTTAAATGTAATATCCATGGAATTAAATTACTTCTACTATGGAGAAACACTTGTACATAGCCACACAGACACAAAGCAATAGTTTTATTTATACTTTTTTTTGTTCTTACCTGAGTAATGTTATCATATCTGCCTTGACCTTCGTGCAGTAAATACTTGCCTTGATTGTAATTAATCCCAGGCCCTCCATCTGTCACCATAGTTGTCACACAGTGCAACGAAGATTATGACTGTTTTAAAGTTTTATTATGAACATACTCGATGGGAGGTTGTATCCATTTCATCTCCAAAAATAAAACCTGAGTCTTGTCCTGATACCTTGTAGTATAAACGATAGACATGAAGCCAATGTAGCCTATCAACTACACTAAGCTTCAATCTATGGGCGAAAGTGTACAATACTTTCCTACTAAAGATAATCTACATTTTTTTAAACTAATACATTATACAAAGCTAAAAAATAAAAATAAACGTAGCTGTAGTTATGCACCACGACCACTAGATGGCATTAAACAGTCACACTTGATGCAATATACTCAAGTTTAAACCTATTGTTTTAACTCTGCTATATGAAAATAAAATGTCTACTCTACTGTATAAAACTTTTGGATGAAACAGCCATTTCTAACATACTTTTGCTAATAATACTGGCGGTTACTTCCCTGGCACAAAATCCTCAAGATTTGAATTTAGCTTATATTACATTGGTATATTACTACACTAATATTCATAACAGTAGGTGTATTTTTTAAAAGCAAAATCGTAGAACCACCCATTACTTAAGGTAGACTCTTTGTCAGGATTACAAACCGATCAGAGTCTCATGCTTCTTCTGCTCCTTTGTTTCAGAAGCTCCAGATTCTTAACATTTATAACATCTATATTTCTCAAATATGCGTGTTAAAATTTATAAAACATCAAGTGAAGGGAATATCCCTGAGCACTTCAATAATTACTGCATTCTTAATCCCCAGCTCCATTCAAGCTCAACCAGTCAAGCTTTAGATCTTCCTTCTCCGAAATGTTTGACAGAAGTCAATTTTTCGATTCAGAGGCAGCAAATGATGGAATATGTATTCCCATCTGTCAAAAAATCTGCTGCTCAGTAAAATGTTACAAAAAATGCCTGAAATAACATTTAACTGCTATTCTCATTATCCATGTATTTATGGTTGATCAGAATTACTTGTAAATTTGTATAAGCAGTATTTTTGTTTTGGTGTCAATACAGGTGTGTGCACACACTGCTGTTGTTTGTCTAAATATCTGTGTACATACCCTATTATATTTTCTGCATCTTAATTATCTTTTGTTATCTATTAAGCTCTTTTGAGTTTTCTGCCCCTTCCTGCACTAAATATTGTCTATTTAGTTATTTGTTAAATGTTTTTTTCCCCTTACTGTGCAAATAAATAAATAGACTACTAAAAAGAATATAGCCGAAAAAGACATCAACATCAGCAAGGGAAAACCTTTAGACTTTAAGTGCATGATATGGTAGATTAAATTTTTTTTTTTTAATAATCTCTCTTCATTTGATTTAACAGGACAAGCTGTTTACCTTTAATATGGGCCAACACAATTTACTTGTGTTATCAGTGTGCTAGACGTTGTGATTTATGTTCAATAATAGATTAAGTACATCACAATTCATTTATTTATCTTCAATTATAGAATAGAGCCCTTTGAAGGTACTGATGCATGAATGTTATGACAGTGATGTTAATGATTTAATCATGTGGACACAGGCGAGATTTGATAATAAAGTCAGACACACGCCGGGTTTCAGTTGATGGCTTTATTCCTGCTGGTGATCATTAGTTCTTCAGTAGGCCTAGCCCACACAGTGACGACACAACAGACTGATTGACATGTTCCAACAAACAAAAACACTCTTACAACAAAGTCATAACAGACCTATTCTGAGAATCCCACCCCCCCCAAATAAAATATTGCAGATATGTTGAAATGCCCATTGTCATCATATGGCAGCATATCTGATTTTTATTTACTGAGACTATAAAGTCTTATTTCATATTCTTAAAGTGCAGTTTGTAGTAAAACACACTTAAACTTGAAATTAAAAAGTTACCAGACATTAAGTTAGTTCAACTGTCCATATAGTCTTTTTTTCCTTTCTATTTTTAATATATGCTATTGAAGTACTTACACTGATCTCATAGTGACCCAGTTTGGAAGCAACACAAGTCCCATTGAAGGATATTAGTGATACAATACACTCAACCATAAAGATATATCCTTACACCCAATAATCAATTTATAACAAACAGTGGGTTAAGGCTAATTGTTTGAGGTTGCTGAGAATCATTAACCTGCTGATGGTAAAGTTGGCCTGACCTCTGGACCAAAACATGAGGAGCTGAAGGCACGTGCAGGTTTATTGCCTTGAATACTTTAATCTGAGGATCTGACTAATAGTGTCATCTCCCCCTCTGTCTCTACCTGTGACCCTCTACTCTACAACGTGCTTCCTCAGCCGCTGCACCACGTCTTCTGCGTTCGCCCACGGCACTGTGACCGCCTTGAACTCCCCGGGCATGGCCTCGTGAGTCTCTGTGATCAGCCTGTGCATGGGGAACTCCCTCCGCGGGAACGCCACGTCCCGGGGCCCAAGAGAGAGCGCGGGGCAGAAGTCGTTGGCTCCGTCCCCCACGTAGAAGACCCTCTGGTACGGACGGCCTCTCTCCTGCGCCCTGCGGGCCACGTAGTCCCTGACCACCACCTGCTTGCACATGTTGTCTGGGCACCGAGGACAGTCGTGGGAGTGGAAGGGCCGCATCACGAGTCGGCCGTCCTTGTTGAATGTGGCCGGGTTGGAGAAGATCCGGTGGAAGAGCTGGCGAGCCCCTGCGCGTCGGAGCCACGACTCGATGAAGAAGGTGTTTGCGTCGGACAACAGCACCACCTCAAAGTCCGTCTGGGGCCGGGTGCGGAGGTACTGAAGGAGGGTGAGCATGCCAGGTGTTGCCGGCATCTTCTCCATGACGTTGCGCATGTCGCTCTCCGTGACGCCCTGCTCCGCCAGGTAGGCCAGTACGCGCTGCATGTATTCGTTGTAGCGGCCGGGCTGGTAGGTGTCCTTCAGCCAACCTGGCAGGTGCTGACCCGGTGCGGCCTGCACCACCATGTCGTCGCTGGTTTCATCCACAATCGTCTCATCGAAGTCGAAGAAGATGAGGAAGCGCTTGTCGTTGGAGATGTGGGAGGCCATGATCTCTGCGCGTCTGGACCTGGGGGGCTCCCTGTCGCCTGAGGGTTGGGGTGGGACATAACAGCAGTTGAAGATCGAATCCCACATGATTGACTATGCCACACCTCTTATAGCCTACTGTAGCAAAGTGGGATCAAATCTCCACTAGTGCTCTCACACTACTCATCCCACGTGAGGCGGGCCAAGAGGGTGGAGGTTACTGAGGATGGATATCTGGAAAACACCACTGCATAAATAGGCAAAGGAATGGGGGGTTGGGTGGAGGTAAAAACAGAATCAAATATATATATATAAAAAGGAAACCGACAAAACAATCTGAATATTGCCTATAACTTTAAAAAGGGCTGAGAGCAAAGCAGTCATCCAGCAGCTCTGTCTATCAGATGAGGGCACAGCAAGACTCTCTGAACTGATTTTCTGCAAAAGGTAGGCAGTAAACAGAAGGTAGAGTCGGTGGTTATACCTGCTGCAGCAGAATAGAAAATTAGGAGGGAAATGGGATTATTTGCATAGGCTGTAGAATCGGCTTCATGCAGATTCTGCAAGGCAGCAAGCATGTTTTTCAAATGTTCAAGAGCAAAAAAGGTCAGCCCTTTGTCGTAGAGTGCACATTCGTTTCTGTCTGCATACCTGAGTGTGTGCTGATTTCAGCAGTGGATGAAAACACACCGCGAGGCTCCTTCAAGCAAGCGTCTGGTTTTATGTCTATAGGAGGAGAAACAATGGATGCAGAGTTAAAAAAAAAAAAAAAAAAAAAAAAATTTCACTGAAACAAGTCTAAAAACACAAAGGTTAAAATCACTTTTTATAAAACTTAACTAAAACGCAATTAATTCTACAATTGAAGACAGGAGGTCCATCTGATCTGAATAAAATCTTATTCAAAACAAACCTCAACATTAAACTTCCACTATTTCAAAATCGATTCCTTACAAAAAAAAAGAAAAAAAAGGAAAAAAAAAAGAATATTACTGTTTCACCGCCGCTGGTTCCGATCCGGTCCGGTCTCACAGGGAGCAGAGGCAGAGATCCGCCGGTCGGCCGGTGGGACGAGCACTTTTATGTGACAGTCGAAACCACGTGACCGCGCCTACAAGTCCCCCCACAGCCCACTGAGCGCGTGCGCGATACTTCTTCCAAGGAAGGACGAGGAGAAGGAGCGAGGTGGGAGGGAAAGGGGAAGTAACAAAAACAAGACAAAAAAGGACAGCAAACGTTCTGTTTCCTGGATATGCTCAGGACCGTCAGTGTTAACACAGTGAATGTGTCAATATTTGTTTCTAACCTATTTTTACATGTTAATGATTTTCAGTCTCAGGGCAGGTTATAAGCAGTCTATGGTTCTAAGTAATATTTACAGTCTATGGTTATAACTCAAACACAAAGTAGCCTACACTCACAGACATTCTAAATGAGCATTTCAAAATGGGACACACAGGGGGGGAAACAAATATGAACAGTCAAGAAAAGATCATTAAGTTTTAGGTTTTTTTTTTTTTGGAGCCTGGTGCAGGGAAACCACGAAGTATGTTACTAAGTTTCATCCAGTCACAGGAACATATTTGACTAATCCCAAGCATTAGTCGAGATTAGCCAAATGTGCTTCATAGTTTGATACAAAAGAATTCCTGCCCCAAATAGAGATCAAGAGTGCGTAAGTGTATTTCAAGAACAGCCTATTAGTAGCCCTAACTAATGGTTAAATGTTTCTCCTTCAACAGACTGGTAAAAATTTGGGTCAGCGTCAAAGCGAGTGAAAAAGATTCTGCTTTGACCACAGAGCTCATCTGCAACGGAAACGCACAGCAGAATCACAATTAAGACTCTGCTAAGAATAAATTGTAATACATCAGATCTGATGTGATGTAATGGAGTCCTTCTATTTAATATAATATTAAATACACAGTGAAAGATGAGCTGCGAGAGCGATGGCAGCTGCTTGTTTCTCCACAAGACGTTCTAAGTTCAATCCTCACAAACAAACACAGCAATTAATGAACCAAGCAGCAACATCCAGAGCAGTGATGCGCCCCTAAAAAAAAAAAAAAAAAACCCCAGCGTGAAGCTCTCCTCTCCTTATCTCCCTGCTGACAGATGCAGCCTCCTCCCTCCTCTACACCACCAGGCGTAATGACTAACAGCTGGGGCGAGGGACTATTTTCAAACTCAAATGGGAATGGAGATGTGTTATTATCTCCTGTGCTCCTGAAGTGAGCCTCGCTACCTGACCACCCACTCACCATCAGTGAGTCACTCACACTTTTCTTGCTTGGATACCTTGCAGGACTATGTGACTCATTGCTGTGCCACTTAAAAACACCTCTGGTGGTGTAGAGGGCACGGCACAACATTTCAGGAGTTTTTCTAGTTAAAATCTTTGCGACCTTAGAGGAAGAAAAATCTGCTAATGGACGAATGTGCACATAGTTCTAGTTTACACATAGACAGGATGCTTTGGGGGAAAATTCGTCACACTACCCTGGCTTTGCTTTTCCATTTTTATACACGTTAAATAAACCTGTCTCCATTCTGCTTCATCTAAAATTGAAGGTGTCGACAAGAAAAGACCCAAGCTGTATGTTACCTTACATTAGAATCTTTGTCAGAGGTCGCTGACAGAAAGGGCTCTGACCAACAAACTGTTCCTCAGCCTAATGCTACGTCTTCTAATCTGAACAGTCTATTTTTGTCCAAAAAGATTTGCTATTGTTTTGTTTTTTGGTTGCACATCAAAAGAGAGGGAAGTAGTCACAAAAAGGGGATCTAAAAGTTCACTCGTCATATGAAAGCCCTGATGGCTCAGCAGCTTACGTTTGTGCTTTTCATGTGCAGCCGGCAGACGTTGTGTGGTTACAGGTGAACCCACTGAACCCAAAACAGAAGAATAACAGCACTCCGTTTACACTCAGTATGAAAGTGACTAAACCCAGTGACCCGCTTTTAGAAACAAGTTGTGTACACTGTTTATTTTACATTTCATCTTTGATCGCCCTTTTTTTGTTGTTGTAGGTATCTAAATCTCCATTCAAAACTCACTGCACCCAAAGATAAAGAGGCACACACATCTGTGATAATCATGGCTACTTGTTTTTACTTTCAAAGTTAGCAGTCAGTTAAATGTACATTATCAAAAAAGGCCCAACTTTTTCCACTTCTCCCCAATCTCCAGATAACATACAAAAAAAAGGACAAACCAGGACATTATAAAGCTGCACATTTTGTACCAGATACAATAATAAAATACACAATGCTACATTAAGTGGTTAAAAATACAAAGGGGGGAAAAAAAAATTATATTGATTTTTTTTAAACATCTTTAAAGAACATACAATGTTATTTTTTTTCTTAACTAGCCAAGAATTTTAGTAGAAAGTGCATTCTATATAACAAAGAAAGGAGGAGGAGAATCATTCGGCAAACTGAGAGACCAAACAGGACACGGTAGAGAGAAACTCTGAATGAAGTAAACAGAAGAATGTATTTCAGACTGCTCAGAAAAGGCTTGTGTAAAGTCGCCAAAGCAAAGAACAATACTTTCACTTTTAGCGGAGGTCCGTGCTGGAGCAAATGTGTTCCTCTTTGAAGAGTAGGGAATTAACTGTGTGCACTTAATAAAAGAAATGTCCTTCATTTGCTCTGGTCCCCCTCCAAATGAACCAACTCTACCCGGGATTCTCCTCCTTTCCTTGCCTAAAAACATCCACTCAAAGTAATCGCCTCCACCTTTTTTTCCCATGCAGCCGTAACTGCACTCTGTTCCACAATGCATTGTCAGTCCCTCCTTTCCCTGCGCCTCTCCCACGCAGCAGTAAAGTGCAGAGAATACACACAAAAGAAAAAAGGCTTTAAAATAATAATAATTAAAAAAAAAAAAAAAAAAAGACAAAAGATCCATACTGCAAAATGCTGAAGCACAGCAGTGAGGGGACAGGGTGAAGCAGAAAATGCAGCGGTTATCAAGACCCGCAGAAATGGCAGGATAATTGCAGGTCTCAAATAAAGAAGGGGGCATCCTAAACTACTGAGCTTAACCACTTCAGACTAGATTCTGTTTGAGCAGTAGAAAGAATGAGTTCAATTTACTGCTATTGTCCATTTCCGATATCCCGAAATGCAACTATATATATGGGGCACACTGTGTAAAAGCAGCTTTTGGTACAAGAGCACTGGGGATAACCAGACAAAGACTGGTAGAGGCCTATGCATGCTCTCTCTCTCTCTCTCTCTCACTCACTCACTCACACACACACACAGCTCGATGCTACCCCCTCTACACACACATCAGATAGCAGTCAGAATGGGTGAAGGGCTACCGACCAGGCAATCCAAATTCATATCTGCTTGTTTGAACCTAAAAACATTCACACCATCGGCTCTTACATCAATAATGTAATTTCTATCGCTGACTTGATCACATATTTGTTTATACAAAGTATTAAAAATGGTATCACTGCCTTTTATCCTGACATTTCCTATCATGTGCTAACAACAGTATATCTACACTGCAGAACCATTCATTAGCTTAAAACTGAGCAAATGATCAGAGAACATTAAAAAAATAAAAGACGTGAATGACTCTTCAGCAATCATTTCTGCTTAGGCAACATTCGACAGGTTGCCCGTTGTAAATCAGAGTTTGCCAGTATGATAGAAGTGAACAACAAAACAAACAAAATAACCTGTACATCACAAGAACCCCCCCCCAAACACCAAACTGTGGAATATAGGCTGAGAGGAATATGCATATTTTGCCTGTTAAGAACTGTGAAGAGAAAGGTCCCAGATGTGTATACTGTGTGTGTCAAATGACCTTTAACATGGTAACCCGTATCATTTGGACAGCAGCGAAAGGAGGTTGGGGTAAATCCTGATGGGGCCATGATCTGGCCCCTCACAGTGGCAGTATTTGACAGTCATCTGTTATCTAGAAGCATATGTTGACCAACAGTACTGAGAGCTGAGGTTGCACCAATAACAGCAAGTAAATCAGTGACAATATGCTCTTTGCCTTTGTGTGTGTGTGTGTGTGTGTGTGTGTGTGTGTGTGCTTGCTTGGAGTAAGTGTGAAGGTTTGAGTGTGCATGTCTACGGCATGTCCTGCATAACTTGAGTTTCGTCATCATAAAACATCTGGTCAAATCTCAAAGCCACTGTAAAACAGCCAGGCTGGCAAGACATGTTCTGTATGACACAATACACGTTTTGTTATTTTGTTATATTACACCTCTGAAAATCAAACGGAAAAGAAAAATTAAGAAATAGTTTTTATACTGGAATGGAAAGCACCGTTGATAACCATGAGATGAATCCAGACTTTACTAGATTCTACAAACATTTACAAAACCTTTTTGCCAAGTTCCATTACAAAAATAGCCCCTCCCCCCACCCTTACTGTCACCCGACACTACTGCTGTTGCTCTTCTGACAGAAAGCCTTTGCATTGGCCATAGGACAAGACGAAGGTTCAAGTAGAACCAGTTCCAACATTCTCTGCAGTACAACGAGGAGGACAAGTTAAGTATTGCTATGGGGAGAACCCGCACACAAAGCCAGAGTCCAGACCAGTGTTCAACCATGAGTCAAGAATTTCACATGAAAGGGAAATTTCAATGACACTGATCCTTGATGACCCAAGAAAAACAGGTAACACATATTTCAACTTCCATCAGCAGCTTAAGATGAAAACGAGAAACTTTACACCTGTCAATGTACAATCCAGAGCTCGCACAGAGGTTATCTTGTGTAAACTTTCTAAGAAAATGTACACCAAAAATAATCTAGAGGTTGTATAATCTTTGTCAGTTGAGCAGGGTATTTCTTAAATTATGTGTGCACGTCGGGTGTATCAGTCTGATTCACAGACACACAAAGTGTGCATGTTTAGCTTGAATGATTTAAATCTTTTTAGAGGTGCAACCGACCAACTGTGATACTGAGGAAGGGTTTGGAGAACAGGGGGATCAAGGCCAGGTACGGTGTGGGCCTGTAGAGAGCTGGAGCACGCTTCAGTGATGCTGTGGGGCCCCCCGGGGCCCTTGTCAGGGGTGGCCATATGGTGCAGGTAGCTGCTGTCTTCGTGCCCGCAGTGGTTTAATGGCTCACTCTTAAAAAGAGCCGGGGGTGGGGGCAGGTGGGAGACCGGGGGGCACGGCCAGGTGGTGGTGGGGGTGAGGTGGGGCGTGTTGGGGTGTGTTTGAGAGGTGTTGCTGGGTTGTCTGCGGTAGTGGGTGGTGGTGAGAGGGAGTTGAGTGGAGCTGTACATGGGAGAATGCATGTCCCAAAGGGCCTCGTGGAGGTATGGATGCTCCTGTCGGACTGAGGCCAAGGGGTGCTGAGGTGGTGGCCGGGGTGGCAGCTGAGGGGCCAGGACCAGAGGAAGAGGAGGAGAAGGAGTTGGCAAAGATGCGAACAGGCACAGGGGGGCCGCTGGTCTGCAGAACGACAGGACTGGTGACCCGAAAACACTTCTCTTTGTGTGCTTTGAGCATGTTGGAGAAGCGGAAGCGTTGGCCGCACACCTCGCAGGGATATGGCTTCTCCCCAGTGTGAGTGCGACGGTGGCGCTTCATGTTGGGCCGGCTGGTGAAGCTCTTCCCACAAATCTCACAAATGAAAGGCTTCTCTCCTGCACAGATTCAAAGAAACACTGATGAGTAGGGACGTCAACAAATGTTTCAGTTAACAAAAAGATGATTGCGTCACAGAGAAAATGAAATGATGCATCAGGTGAATCTTTTGCTGGCAAAAGTGGTTAAAAAAATAAGCCACCTAAATCTCTCACAGTGACAATGTTTTACCTTTCCCTCTAACCATTTCTCTCCACAGAAAGCAATAGTTGTCTTTTAAAAATGTTGCCATCTTGTATCGAGAGTCTCTGCTGCCAACCCGCCCACTCCACAGGAAGCGATTACAATTCACACTTTGAGGAGAGGAGATGTGAAAGTGAACAAACAGCAGCTCCGTTGGAATGCCGCTCTCATTAACCTCCCTCCATGGAGCTGCTAAATGTGCCTGCTACCACCCACACAGCCGTCTATTAACAGGCTGCTGAAGGGCTTTGTAAATGCCTCATTCTGGCATGTTACGTGTGAAGATGCTCCAAACCAACGGAATATCAAAAAGGTTACACTTAATGTGCTTGTCTTCGTTTACTGTTACATTACTCACCAAAATGCTAAATATGTGTGGAGTATAGCAAACGTTTGGAGTCTGAGTTGAACATGTGTGCTGTCTATTATAGGGTACCACTGGGTGTGTCTCCTCCTGCAGGAGGCTAAAGTAGTTGCTAGCGGAAAGGGGTAGCGTAATTACACCTTACAAATAAAGCATGAGGGCCGACAGTGTTTCCACCCACGACAGACATGGCTGGAGAAAAACATTGAGGGACGTGCAGGCTGCACTGCTCCGTTTGGTCTTAGAAATAGCAATGCAGAAGGGACAGAAAATCAGAGGGATGTAATTCAGCATATGTCTGGGTAGCCATTATAAGCCACAATATATGCAAGACTCTCTTTGATGTAGAAACATTCCTATAATTACAAAATCTGGGCAAAGGCTTCCTGCTCTTTTCACTATAATGTTAAGCTTGAAACATCCCATAACATTCTTTTTTAGGACACTGCATGGTGACCGGCTGGCGGGCTGGATAGACGCAGGAACAATGTTGTAGGGCAAAGCTCTCATATCTGCACTCTTAAGAATTGTAGGCTTTCTGAATTGAAAAATGTAAGAATCAGAATAAAACTTAAAAAAATATATAACTTACATAAACAGAGTTTTTTTTTTTTTTTTTTTTTTTTTAAATCAAGGACTGAAATTTACAACAGAAAGTTTTTCTTGTTCCTATTCATATGTAACTAAAGGACTGTGAAGATCAATCAAAAGTAGTTAAGGAGAGCCTAATGTTCTTTGTTATTCACTGTTGAACAGCTCTGTGATAGTCCAATGTAGATCATGGAAAGGAGATGTGCAGAGAAAGGAGGAAGACTGGGGCATTGTAAGGCTCTGCTGAGTGAGGGCGCGGTCACACTGGCAATTCGGAGAGGTGTGCTTCGGCCCGTTACACTTCACGCACGAGCACAAGTATGCGGGCACACAACGCTGACAGCCTTCATTACAGAGAAATCCAGAGTTTCATGGCTGTATCTGCCTAAAATGACACAATATAAGCCACAAAGTAGCTGTCATGTTCTCAGTGTCTTTCTCCGATGTGCGGCCGCGGACTCTGCCGCGCATCTCTTTTATCTTGTTTATGGCTGTATCTGATTAACATGACTTAGAATAAGCCGTGCCGGCCAGCGGGGTAGTGGGGCAGCGGGGGGGGCACGGTACAGATTGCCAGTGTGACCGCGCCCTAAGTCAAGTGATTTTCCTTTTTCAGATTATATATATATCACTCGTACAGTTGTCAATCATTTTTCTGACACCATCTTTTTTTTAACACAAAACAATAACATTACAATAACTTTACAAGACCTTTAAAATACTGATCTATTAGTACACACTATAGTGTCCTAGTGTTCTGAATGCAGCATACAGGTTGTATATCTTGACTCTTGTGTTTGAAAACTACATGTTCTTGACTGTAAACCACACCTAATTGTTAATTGTAAGCTTCATTCACAATGGAATAAGAGCTACAGAAGGAGAACAATAGCCTGCACACTAAATTTAAAGCTTTGTTCTTCGATCGCTACATGGTAGTGGTGCACTGGATCACAAATCTCACGGTTCCAATTGGATCACGATCAATCAGATCTGCAGAGCGTGCTGTCAATCAAGGATCAGCTATGATCCGTTTCACTACTACATCGGTTAAGGTTTTATTAATCAGGATTAGCTCCTCACTTTGTATGAAAGGTTCCTGAAAGAGTTCCCAGAAAAAGAAAAAAAAAAAAAAAAAAAAAAGAGGTCATAACAACAGAATTACAGAATGTTGGTCTGTCTAAAAGGATTATGGGTACATTTAGGTGGCTTAACTTGTGGTTTTCTCACCTGTGTGTGTTTTCATGTGCTCATCAAAATACTGTTTCATGTTGAAGTCTTTGCCACACCATTGGCACATGAACTGCTTGTGTCCGATGTGAATGCTCATGTGGGAGCGCAGCTGGTACTTGTATTGGAATCGCTCGTCACAGTTCTGCAGCAGAAACAACATAACATGCACACACCAGGTCAATACACGTCACACTCTGCTCTTTCTAGGTTTGTTTACTGGCGTGAGTAAGTTTCTACCTCAACACATTTTCTCACATACGTTTACAGATTGATTAATAAAATCATCCTCAAGCCTTTTAAGGGTTAAAAAACTGAAAACTAAAAAAAGGTGATCATATTTACATACACATCGCTGCAGAACTTACTTCTCATGGCTTACTGTCAGACACTATAAACAAAGTAAACCAGGACACTGGGACCAGTTAGACAGGGAATTCAGGAACGCATTACGTGTGTTGTGTTTAAAACGATCTAGACTCAAGCACTGGATTGAAATATTTCACCTATGAAGTAGCCAAGCCAAAAATAACTATACAAGGACAAGAAAGTTTCCCCCTAGTTTAGATTTATCTTAATTCCTTAACATGAAGGCAGCAGGTTTCTTATATGTACATCATGTTTAAGATATTTAATTACCGCAGCATGCGAACAATAACCTGGTTATTAGAGTGCGTAGTACCACAACATATGTTTGTATTTCAGCGGTTTCAAGTTTTTTTTACTACAATGAGATATTTATAACCTTGAGGTACCACCTGGCTAAATAAAAGGGCTGTGGGTATTTCTCTCCTCTCATCAGTTTCTATATGAGACTCCAGGACTGGGAGAATGGCTTATACATAACATACACTCTCTGAAAGCATGTAATCACGTTACAGTGTAGTACGACTTCAAACATTTCATTAAAGCAGCTCCACCCACACACACATGTTCCCAGAGTGGTGTCCATTTAAGTAGCTTGACATCAAAGATCTTGGGGTTGAGTAGGACAACCCATCCGTCAACGTTCCTCTGATTTAACCAATCATGACACAGATAAGATAATGAACAGAGACTAACACTGTTGAGCAGGAAGGAACATGCTCTTAAATCTTCACAAACATAGTTACAAAACGCTTTCATAAGAGATTTCTAAAGCTGTAAAACACTGAGAGTTAAGTTCTTCTTTTATGTAATGTGTGGTTTGCTAATATTTGACATGGTCTGGCTCAAGCTCGTCTGTGCAGCTCTGATGATATAACTGTCTGATGCATTTTCACACCACATGAGGAGGCTCCCACTCTGAAAGACACTCTTATGGTTAAAAAAAAAAAGAAAGAGTGAATGTGATGAAAATACTTTTAGAGTCCTTTTTAATAGAGAACGACAAATCACTGTAACTTTAAGTCGCTCATCTCAAACAGCTTATTAGTGTAAAGCTAGAAATATATACATTTAAAAAAGGCAAGCAGGAACATTGGTGACAAGTGGGTTTGTCAGTGAATCCTTATGACACACCTATATAATGCATGCCATCACTTCAGTGTGATAGCATTATAGACCATAGGTTCTCTCTTCATTCTTCACGGGTGTTTAATGAGGAAGGTTTATTAAAATATAGCTCTTTTCATATTGACAGCTAGAGATGCAATATTTACGCCCCTGCAACATATTGCCTTCAATATAAATGTCTCTATAAAAAAGGTGGAAATAGCGGGAAACAGGTCCTTCCACTTCTAAGCTGCAGTCGGAGGTGGTAACAGAGGTGTGATAGGGGCGAGATGAGATCCCTGTATAGCATCAGCAGGACAGGCTAAACAGCGCTGTTTGTGTACCGTCTGTTAATGTCTTAAGGTGTGTGTGTGTTTGTGGAGCCCCCTCCTCTACTCTTTGTTTACATTTCTGGCCTCCGCAAATATATAAAGCAATGTGAATTCACAGTCTGGGAATCCAATATTACACTGTTGCGGAATCAATATGAAAGTACAAAGACCTAATGACAACAGGGCTATGTTACGGCACTGATGCTGAATTGCGATCTGTAAAGGGCTGATGAGTCCGTTTAACAGCGGAGGTGAGGCTGAGGTAAGGGATCTGGAATCGGACTCAATAAAAGGGTCAGTCTTATATCTTATCCATTACATGAAGGACTTTTAACATGGCAACACATATTTCAAGCCAAGGAGCATGTGAACGGTTGATAGAAAAAGGAAGAGACATAGAAAGCTCCTTTCAGCTTAAACATCTTCAGTGCAGCTGGCACTAAATACCTGCACTATAAGACAATCTGTGTTTAGAATCACGTCTCAAACAGCAGGACAACCCTTCTGGACACTTTAAAAAAAAAAAAAAAAAAAAAAAGGATTTGTCTCAGTTTTTTTTACTCCATGTCCCACAACAGGAAATCCGGTTCTCAGGTAGTGAGGTAAAGTATAAACTCGTATTTTGTCATCCTTTCGCCTTAGTTGGCATTGATACAATCAATGTGGACAAACCTGACTCTATGTGGTCACTTATGGATGTGGACTGGACACATTATGTTACTGTGATAAACTTACCTCACAACGGAAGGGTTTCTCTCCAGAGTGCTGGAGCGAGTGAACTTTTAGAGACATGCTGCGTTTAAACGACTTCCCACATGTCTCGCAGGTGAATGGCATGTCTTTTGTGTGAGCTGGGTCAGAGAGAGGAGATGGAGAGAGGGAACAACAATGAGACAACTCATTGGAATAAAATGTGTATCTATTACATATTAAATTACGTTGCTCCTGTTGCTGTTGCCTCCAGTAAGAGATATATTGGTAGAAACAGTTTATAGTACAAACTGCTGGGGAAAAAAAGGCCCTCACTTACCGACCATGTGCTTACGGACGTGAGCCATAGTGTAGAACTTCTTCTCACAGATTTCACACGAGAACTTCTTCTCTGCATAGCCGTGCACAATCTTAATATGCTCATGAAGTGACCACAGCTTCTTAAAAGACTTGTTGCAGGAGACACACTAAATGAGAAAATTAAAGAAGAAAAAGAACAATTAAGATCTAGCTTTTTGATGTAGCTAAATGTTAAGCACATCTAAACCTGGAGGCAATGAGTTGATGGGCCACATTTCTTTCATTATACTGCAGCTCCCTCTGCTGGGGAAAAGTCATAATGGGTCTGATTTCCTTTATTTCTTCAGCAAGTCTTCTAATGATGGTTTAAAAAGCAAAACCGTTTGGAAGACATACAAGAAGAAAACAAAGTGACATGTGTCGATGTCAGCATAACCAGCTCCCCTTGTTGATGTGATTCCTAATTAAATCGTAATGTTTAACATTTGAGTGAAGCGTTCAACCTGTGTGGCTCTTGTAATGTTTAGTTCTGATAAACTGATTTCATTAATTTGTAACTACACAATGTTAAATATAGTAAACTTCAGTACTGACATTCACATTGACATTGACCAGTGTCACCTTTTAATCTGTGGATCAACCTGTTTCAGTTTACACGTTTGGGATTTGTTTTTTCGGATTTTGAAAATCTTAGCAAAACTTCACTAATTCTCGACTGGATTCAAGTTGAGACTGACTTGACCAGTGTAGAGTGTTTTCTGAAGCCCCTTATGTTCAGCTTTGGCCCTGTGTTTAGGGTTGTTGTCTTGTGGAAAAATGAATCTAGTTGTCTGCAGAGAAGCAAATCCACAACATCATGATGCCACAAACACATCAAATATCAAAACCAATGAAATTGAAGTGACTGCCAGAAAGAACTAGTTGCGGTCTCATCCTTTTAAAGAGTCAATGACTTTGTTAGAGTATTCCTCCCATGCCTTCTGGCGGACGCAGGCCGAGCTATCATGTGAGTTATTCTCTTCTGCCTCTCTTTCCTCAACCATTTCTCTTGTGAGCAAAGAGTTGTCACTAACACTGGACAGTCCTTAAGCATGGTTTGCAGCTTCATCAGTTAAAAAAAAAAGTCATCACACAAAAATTTTGATTTTTGGAAGTCAGAAGGCTCAAGACATATCACTTTAAATGTAACCGTCTGACCAGGAAGATCAATAGTAGGTCTGGCAATATGACCTCAAATCAATATCAGGATAAATTGAACATTTTTACCTCGATACGTTTTTGTTTTTTGCCCTCACAGTTCACTGACTTGGTCTCTACTGTAAATATGCTCAGCTATTAAAGCTGGGATATTTTTTCTAATGAAAGAGTGCATATCTGATGAAGTATTTTGTGGTTATTTATCGAATACTTCGAAGTGAAATCAAAGCATCGCTTGAAATGAAATCGACATTTTAGTTTGAAAGTAGAAATCAACTAATAAATAACTTGCACTCCTTGCGAACAGTTTTTCCCGCACTTTTTTTTTACATTTGACTCCTTTTTGTACGGTGTCGTATTCCCTAAAGACGAAATGTGTCCAAAAGACGGATATTGCCTCCATGTCGCGGATTGGACGTGTAGTCATGTGACTCTGCCCTGAAAATAATCGACACAGGAAAGATTACGTCGGTTAGAGGTTCTGAATGTCGGTTTTGATGACTTGCCCAGCCCTAATCAATAGCCTCGTTAGAACCAACAGATTGAGCTGGAGTGAACCTAACAATCCTTTTCACAGTATAAGTGAATTGGAGTCATCTCAATTTAGCTTTCTACAAAGCACTTGGCTACACCAGCTATGTGGTCTTATTGCATCTGAGCAGAAGAGGGTCCACCTCATGAAAGCAGGCGTTTAATGTTGTACACTTAAACTTAATTTGGATTAATTTAAAGATCTATCTCTGCTTATCATGTGAGAAATGTATTTAATCATTTAACACAAACTCAGTGTGTCACTAGTTATGCATTTTGTTTGTTGATTTAACCTTAAGTGAACTCTGTTAGTCTATTAAGCAATGGCCACGCTGCTCTATTTGCATTAATCTTCCCTAAACAGATACAAGTAAATGCAGGCAACGTTATCACACAGACAGACTAAAAAAAAGATTCTATTTTGACAAGTTGTTGTTTTGACCATTACTTACAGAAAAATGTAGTGGGATTAAAAGCGATATTTTTTATAATTAACAAAAGAAACGTTAGAGCATGTCTGTCAATGGGACTTAAATAAATAGACAATAAATGAGAAATATTAAATCACATAGAAGAAAGCATACATGTGATTTTTCTGCTCGATTATTTTAATAAACAGTTAATGAACTTGTGTCTTAACAGCTGAAGTTGGTTTCAACAGGTAGCACCAGCACCAGCTGTAAAGGAGGGATGAAACTGTTTCTTTACAAATACGGATGCAGCTTATGTCAAGTCTACCCCCTGGCTAAATAAAGATATTCAAAATATATAACCCTTGGGTATTAAATATGCGGCATCTCTATGTTTTAGTTTTAGGGAAGTGAAACCAAACTGAGCCCTCTTGTACCATTAAATGATAGTACTTGACAACATGATACCGTTGTCATGTACCGTTCACCGTTGTTGGATAAATTAAGGTTGATCTTATCTTAATTTGATTGGTTTTTCCATGTTCTGAATCTTAATAATTTGAGAAGTTTAGCATGAGTAATGCTTCAGCCTGTTTTGACTTTTAACATGCTGAAGTTTTTCAACATTAAAGTGTTGTTCTGGACAGCTCCTTATTTAATAAACATGCATTTTGTATCTTTACCTGGATGTTCTTCTCACAGTCAGTCTGCTGGTGTAAGGCCAGCTCGCTCTCCAGGACAAACTTTTTGCCACATTTGTCGCAGATCTGCATTCGCCTGTGTGTAACGTTCATGTGCTTCTCCAGGTACCAGCGCGTGTTAAACACTCGGGGGCACTTCTCACACGCTAGCAGCTCCTTCTCCTCCGCCTCCGCTCTCCCTCCGGTTGTCGTGACACCGACAGACGATGGGGCTGATCTGGCTGACCTGCGCTTGCTCTTTGGAGGCTCCATGCGCTTCCTCCGGCCCCTTGTGGTCATTCCGGCTGAGGCTGTGCTTAGGGAAGTTCGGAGGCTTTTCCTCCGTGGCAGGCTGGGTGCTGCCGTGCTACTAGCAACCCTGCAGACCCTCTTTGACCTTGTTCTCCGACTCTCAATCTCATCTTCCTCATCGTCTTCTTCCTCTTCGTCATCAGGGCTCTCCTCATCCTCCTCCTCTTCCTCCTCATCCTCCTCATCATCGTCGCTCCCATCTCTGTCAGAGTCATCTGCTGCTGTTCCTGTTTTGTTGTCTCCCTTGGAAACATGCAGAGTTTGGTTGTTCAGGTTGACCTCGACAATGATCTGCTCACGCTTGAAGCCCCCTCCTCCCCATCCTTGTCCTCATCCTCACCCTCTTCTTCTGAGTCTTCTTCCGAGTCGTCAGATGTGCCATCGTTGCCGGCCTGGGACCCTTGCGTCCCAACCTCCTGCCCCGGTCCTCCTTCTCTGAAATACTGCTGATGTTGCTGTTGAGTCGCATGTTGAGAGGGCAGCTGACCAATGTTCTGGTCTCCAGCAAATGTCTTGGCTGCCATTTTATTGTCCACTAACACAGAGTAAGGCTTACCACCAACCTCCCTCTTATAAAGCTTGCTCGTCTGGTCCAGATCTGGAACAGGGGGGTGACAATAGGACTGCGAAACCGGAACCCTGCGTCCGTCCTCCTGTGACATGCCGCCAAGGCTAGGGATGGAAACCTCTTCTTTGAGGCCCTTGCAAGATTTCAGGAAACACAAGGCCGAGGAAAAGAATCACCGCTGAAGTGCCTCGTTAGACTAGCCTATTCTACAAGGAGGGGCAGGGGGTGCCACACCAATCCCCCACCCTCCTTCCAATGAAAAGACAGGAAGGAGGGGATGAGGTGACAGATAGTCAACCCGATTCAAAAAGAGCATCCATGTTGTCCAAGGTAGGAAATACAGTTGGAAAGACATACAATCTTCTCCAAGTTTTGTTCCATATGCTCATATATCAGACCGGGATAAATTCCTCTGTTAGTATGCGAGACGTAGGCAGCTGCCAGATTCACTTTCTCTGAAGTCTGCTGCCCTGCTCAGCGCCCGTGTCTTCAAATTGCAGAACAGGTAAAGACGAGCCGAACGTCAGACACGAAACCGGTGTGAGGAGGACGTCTGTACGTTGCTTGAAGAGCCATTCACAATGCATTACCTATGAAAAAAGAAACATGGAGAATTAAGATGAGATCAGAAAAGGTGCTTTTCTGCTGCCTCTAGAGTCTGAACTGAAACTAGCGCCATATTGACGTGTTTGCAACACTGAGCAGCGCTTTTGCCCACAAACGTTTCGCTGTGCGTGTAGGAGTAAAAACCACAGCATTTACACATTAATGTTTGTGGATTTTAAGTCGGTGTTCTTAATATGTCGAGGCCACAACTGAAACACCTCACTATAAAATATGACAGAGGTAGTTTGTGTTCTAGGTTGACACAACATAAAACTGAATTCGTTTAAAAAAAAAAACATTTACAACAAGTAATATGTTGAATTATTATGCATACGGAACATGTCAACTATATATTGTAGTAAAAAAAATGATTGATGCACTTTGTTAAAACAAGAATCACACAGACTTGAGGCAGAGAACTGATTGAGCAGAGGACTGTCTGTTTTTTTAAACAGTGCACACCATCTTGCACTCACACCTCCCCATTGACTGTTGGAGAGCTTAGTGTAACCACAGCTCAGGAGCGTGTACTGCAATCTAACCACAGGAAACTGTATTTCAGGCTTACAACGCAGCTTTACAGCAGCGTGCAGTTTGACAGCTGCAATAATTTCATGATATTTGATGCATTTCAAAGATGTAAAAGAGTACAAAAACAAATGAGTATATATTTTAAGGACCTTCTTTTTTTTTTAGCGTTTATATGTTCCTGACTTTCGAATTCATCAATGCTGGGTTGTCCCTGGCTGATACTTGGTTGACCTCAAACAACCTTACACCCCACTCACCATAATGAGAATGCACCAGGGCGGTTTGTTCACTAGAAAACCTCCCTGTGCAAGAAACAAACAACACATTTCCTTTCATTGAGGCAACAAACATCCTACTCTCTGTATCTTCACTTGTTTCTTAAGCTATCTTATATGCTAGTCTCCCATCTGCAAAGAAAACATAAATCGTCCCAGAGTAGGGTGTGATGATCTATCGATACCCCGCACACACAATCACAGTTTTTGCCAAACTGCGTGTCATCTGGAACAGACAGGTCTATTTGGGGCGGCTGTGCATGTTTCTTTTTATCCAAATACGATCATCATTTTTAAATCATCCTTGTAAAAAGGAGCCAGTTGAGGTGTTTCGGGCGTCTGATAAGGATGCCTCCCAGTCGCCTCCCTTTAGGGGCACGTCCTGTCTCATGTTGAATACAAACTTTCTAACACCGTTGTTTTAATGTTATTCTGCACTCTCTTACTTTGCTACTTTATTAAAAAACACTCCTCGCTCGTAAAGACCTGTTGTAATAACTGAAAGAGAAACAAGAGCTGTGCACTTTGGCAACTTTCTGTGATGTGAACTGATGATGGAGATTTTCAAAGAAGCTCACAAAGACAGGCAAAGATAAATGAGGGGAGGTGATTATGTCAGGCAGATCTGGACCTTGATGATTCTTCTTTTTTGTTTTTTTAAATCAGCATTTAACAGGAATCAAAACATTTTCAGTATTTTCCATATTAAACAGAGTTTTGTTAAACAGAAAATATGTTTTCATTGAAATGTCCGAAATTTTTCAGCAATAAATTAAAATCACAAATATTTTGATCAATGCACCCATTATTACAAAAAAAACTGACTATTCTTGTTTGAACTTTTCCAGAGCAGTACTTATGGTCTTAAGCTCTGGTTGAATTGGTCCTAAAAGAATTGCTACAAGCAGATGCTCCTGGTCTACCTGTAACTGCATCTTGCAGGACAGTATAAAAAGCATGCAAGAACAAAAACGGCTGCAAATGCAACTAACTTTTAAAGCTACATTACGAAACATCTGTGCTCTTTGCCTTTTCCGAAGCACAAGTAAAAACCATTTACGTAGAATTTAACAATCCCTGCGTACAGACACACCTGTCTTCCCGTGAATGCTGACTCTGATCCTTTCTGAGAATTAGACAGCAGCTCTGAGAGCATTAAGACCACAGAGAGCAGTGCACTGACAGAGCACCCGACTCACATGGCTTTGTAAATTATCTTGTGTCTGGATGACAGAGGAATATAAATGACACAAGAAATCCCTGAACCCAACGTGCAATGCGTGTTTAATTTAACAAATATTTACATGTTTAAAATAAAAGGTCAACGTTTAACATAATAGATTTAAATTTTAAGCGTGTCACATTTTTAAAACCATAAAATGTTCTACATTTATTGCTGACGCCGTCAAAAATTGAATTAGAGCAAATAAACAAACACACATTGTGGTTATGTATTTTTGAGTAAAACCCTTCCACCCGATTATCATTTTCAATGAGTCATTTCAGAATTTCACTCACAGTGAAACGACAAAGTCTTTGATGTGGGAAACAAGTAAAGCGCAGTCTTCTCAATACCACTGCTAATTAGACTACAACCTAACCTTGTCACATCGGGAGGTCAAACCTATTGAAATGATGATCACTGCTGACGGTTTTTGAGCTTAGATAGATTTCAGTGTTGAACTTTGCACCCTGATGCAAGAAAAAGAAAAAAAAAAGGATAATACAGTCTCCCTGCCAGCTCATTTAAGTAATCCACAGCATTACTAATGCTCTGCAGAACTCACCAAGAAATAGAAGTCATTCAGCTATACCCAACGTATAGGCTTCCTCAATCAAGCTTCAGAGACATGATGAGAAGCTAGAATTCATTCAATAAAGAGTAAGCCGCCTGTAACAGATGCTTCTACGGCTTAAGACTTGATTGACAAAGAATTGGGAGTCGAACTGCAACTGCACAACACAATTAACCCAGAAGTAACAACAGTAAAGAAGAGGAGACTTTTTCGAAAGCAGACTAGATGTGTCATGTTTACCTCTTAATGTGCAGCAGTGCTCCTCAAATCCATTGCTCCCCTCTAAAGTCCGAACTTTAATGAGCTTTTCTCCTTTTTGCAGCTTGTTGGAGGGCCGTGTGAGGGTTCACATTCCTCACTCTGTCCAAACTCATAAGACCTTAAACAGCTCACTGTGTGGTGCACTGCGGGGGGGTGCTCCATGTCTCTCTAGGTATTCGGTCTTAAAGCTCATAATCAGGTCATAGAGTAGTCCTACCTGGTGATTTGGTTAACTTTAAATCTTTTAAAGGTTTCATAGAAGGGAGAGATTATCATCTCAGCACTCCCTCCTCCTACACCACGTTTATTTATTGTCACCACTACACAAACTGTGAAACCTGATAGTTGATAAACTACTGTATCATCGCTACTGGGACACCTGTATCACCTGTATTTTTTTAAACATGGAAAGATCACCTTGACGTTGTTAATGCTAAACATTATGAAATACGAACGGAAGCAAATAACAACTATTCCTGGCAAACAAATGTGACAAACTGCGAAACCCACGGTGGTGATAATTTGGCTAATACGACGAGAGACAGCTTTGTTCAGAATCTAATTTGGGGTGTTTGAATGCTTCGGTTTCATGAGTCCAACATTGCAACAAACCTAGTATTAAGCGAATAAGGGGTTAAAACAAAAAAAAAAGGCAACATTGCACATCGAACAGGAGCAACACTGCAGGCCTAGCCAACTTAGGCTACTTAGCCAGCTAGTCCAACACTCAATAGGTAATAACCTGCACACACACATGACAAGCTAACTTAGCTACATTAGCTCACGTTGCAGCCATTACATATTTTAGAGCAGTTCCAAGGTTCCTAAAACTCGTGGAAATTATTTATTACACTGCACAAGCTGTATCAGCCCCGGTTCGTCTTTTTGTATGACATGCATTGGCCAACAATAGGTAGAGGACTTTCACTTTTTTTGTTTTTTTTTAAAACAGAAAACCGCCCAGATTAGGGGCTAGTTAGCTCACAGATAGCAAGCAACGTCAGATGTGTAGCATTAATGTAACACTTCATTCGATGATGCACTTTGAAAGTAAGAAGTGTGACAGTATATTTGACCCATTTGAAGAGAGATGACAAGTCGACGGCGTGCACTGTTATCGACGGAACTTTCTTCTAGTGCATGATGAAATGCGCCGTTTTATACACACACAAAAAAAAAAAAAACAGTGACTGCTGTGCAGACAAACCCACTCAACTCAACACTGTCACAAAGTCAGTGCTAGCTCAGCTCACACTCATTCTCATAGTATCCCCGACTACAGGTAGACGGTGACCTAATCGTGATGTCTTAAGCAGCCGTGATGCCTGTCATGCATGTTAAACGGATAAAATGAAGCTACACAGCGTCATATTGTTGTCGGGTTGCTCGCTTACCTTGGTCGAGTGACCTCCCTCTTGCCTTCGTGCAATCAGAGTTGCACAGATTCAGGGTTGCAGGGCGCAGTTCTCTCTCTCTCTCTCTCTCTCTCTCTCTTTCTCTTACGTTCGCGGATGTGCATTTAGAAATGTGCAGTGCCAACTCGCATTTTTATGCAACAAAAAAAAAAATAATAATTGTGGGAGATTCGATGCTGATGTTGCGTTACGGGCTGTTGAGGTAACTGCTCAGCCGGGTCTCCAGCCCCGCTACGTGGCCCAGCCAAAGCTCTCGCGCGTACCACTGCCGTCCCGCGCTCATCCTTC